GTTGTAATACTGTACTACTACAATAACTTCGTAGCCTCTTCTGTTGCTCTTGCAGTGAGCTTAAGTGTTACAAGTATCCACTTAAAAGGCTGTGATGCTAATCCTATTGTCATGTTAAATATACTAATATCAGTTTGTGACCTAAAAGACTGAATTGAATTTGTGGCAAGAATATTTTGAATATTTTATATCTGTCACAAAATAATTTCAGGCTCAGTGCCCGTAGCTCGGTGGCCAGGTCACTGGCCGTATGCATCAGGGCTGGTGGGTTCAAATCCAGCCCGGGCCTGCTAAACAACAATGACAACTGCAACAGAAAAATAGCCGGGTGTTGTGGCAGGCACCTATAGTCCCACCTACTTGGGAGGCTGAGGCAAGAGAATCGCTTAAGCCCAAGAGTTTGAGGTTGCTGTGACCTGTGATGCCACAGCACTCTACCAAGAATGACGTAGTGAGACTCTGTCTCAAAAATAATAATAATAATTTCAGAAAGATATGAATAAAATTAGTTTCTATCATGATGGAAGTTGCTCTAGCAATGTTAAGTAAAGAATCCAGACTTATTAGCAGTTAAAAACTACTGACTGTTGAGGTGGCACTTGTGGCTCAAAGGAGTAGGGCGCCAGCCCCATATGCTGGAGGTAGCAGGTTCAAACCCAACCCCGGCCAAAAAAACTGCAAAAAAAAAAAACAACTATAGGCTCGGCGCCTATAGCTCAACCGGCTAAGGCGCCAGCCCCATATGCTGGAGGTAGCAGGTTCAAACCCAACCCCGGCCAAAAAAACTGCAAAAAAAAAAAACAACTATAGGCCACTATCTCTGATCAATATAGATGCAAAAAAAACCTAACAAAATACTAGCAAACTGGATTCAACAACACATTGAGAAAATTATTCATCATGATCAAGAGAGGTTCTTTTCAGGGATCTAAGGTTGGTTCAACATCTAAAAATCAATCAGTGTCACAGTCAGTGCCATTAATCAAACCATCAGTGACACATCATCATCAGTGAATGAAGGACAAAAACCAGACAATCATTTAAATTGATTCTGAAAAGGCATTCAGTAAAATTAAATATCCCTTTATGATAAAAACTCTCAAAAAGGTTAAGTATAAAAGGAACTCACTTCAACATGATAGAGACCATATATGACAGACAGGCAGCTGGTATGATTCTAAATAGGGGGAAAAAATGAGAACCTTCTCTCTCAGGTCTGAAACAAGACAAGGTGCCCTCACCATGGCTGTCATTTCTAAAGTATTATAAGAGCCCCCTTCAATAAAGTGGTGACTTGTATTTCTGACTAGATATATATTGTCTACCTGCAATCATGGAGTCAACAGGGAATAATTTAGTGCCAGTATATTCAGTGCACAGGATAGCCTGAAAAACACAAGCCAATTCTCATGGTCTCCTAAAGTTTTAATCATAAGACATGTTAACTAAGGAGGTAGGAAGGAAAAAGGAAGGAACAGGATAATATCCTCATGTTATCCTCATGACGGAGCTATGATGTCACAGATGAAGACCCTCTGGCTGACCTAACTCAGTTACGCAACAAGCCTAAGTTCACAGCATACGTAAAGGCAGGTCTCAGCCATGGTTTATTTCCAGATTGGGAGTCCTTTCTTTTGCACATAATTATTAAGAAGTAGAATAGTGTGGCTGATTTTATGTTTAGTTTTATTCTAATGAAATTTTTATGTTTAGTTTTATTTTACCCTTCAATGACATGAATGACACTTTATATGCCACAGTTTCCTTCATGGCTACTCTAAGGAAAAAAGCATTCATGGAAGAGAAGAGAAAAATCTCTCAAGTTATTATTCACAAATCTGAGAGTTGAGGTTAGTTTAGAAAAATATAGACCTTTGAACATCAATTAAACTTTCTGAGTTTGTAAAATAGATTTATTTAAGGTATTCACATAGAACTACGTAACTATAAAGGCATTTGTCAGATCAAGGGAGAATTTCATTGCCATTGGATAAAAAATGTGATTTATAAACTAAAAAGTAGGTACAATAGGCGGCACCTGTGGCTCAAAGGAGTAGGGCACCGGCCCCACATGTTGGAAGTGGTGGGTTCAGACCCAGCCCCAGCCAAAAACTGCAAAAAAAAAAGGTACAATATTAATTCTAAAATGATAAGATAAGAAACACAAGAAGCAGTTTCTGAGAATAAAGTCAGCAACGTATTTCATAAAATAAATTGTCTGGTTTGTATATCTTCGTGGCTCATTAACTGAGGGTCAAACAAAACCTTTTTTTCTGATATTTGATGCATCTGAGTTGCTGAAATTATGCATATGTGCGTGAGAATATTGGATTTATGTTCAACAGTTGTGTAGCTGCGTACAAACAAATTTTGGCATATTTCTAGATTTATAAAGAAACAGAACTTGGTAAAGAATAAAGCATTTTTCAGTTTCAGGGTTCCCAACTGGGTAACGTAATGATTTCCTCTTCAGCCATCCCTGTGATGTGACCAGTGCAATGTTCTCCCACAGTTACACAGAGTCATGCCGTCCCTACCGTCCCCCCACCAGCACACTCACCTTCTTCCATGCTGTCTCTGAAGGAGCCCGAGTGGCTGATGGCGCGTGGCCTCTCCTCCAGGGACGTGGCACTCCCACACAGCTGGGCGTCCTCGTAGAGGTCGAAGGAAGAGTCCTGGGCGGGGATGCTGTTGGAACGCATCATGCTGGGCCCCGGAAGGTGAAACTGAGACAGATTCGTGGGACTTACTGGAAAACAGAGCAGATACAGCCTGTTACTCTGGGACTCACGTGATGAAAACAAAGGTTGAGGGGAAGTGAGAATGTGATTCCAGCTCTTACGGAAACGTGAGCTCATAGGGGCTCCAGACACAGGAGTCTACCTCTGAATGTTCAGTGACAGTCACTGTGGAGCCCCTCTTTTCCTCTGGCTCCTTCATGGCAAGCGTTATGTCAATTTTGAAAACAACAGCGAGCAAACCACCAAGTCCCCTCTATTGTCCTGGCTAGAAACGTAATAAAATGGCATTTTCTGCAGTCTGTTATGAAGAAGAGACTGTCTTTCTAGAGTGTATAGGTTTCTTACTTAAAGAATAAGTATCACTTTCATAGGAAAAGCAGAATCAAAAAGAAGAGTAAAACCCAAAAAGGAAACTAAGTTTCTCCAGAATGCCCTTTAAAGGCTGCCAGGTAAAGACTTTCAGTCATCGTGAGTTCTTAAGTGACATATGTTCATTGTTGAGATCACAGTGATTATCAGAGTCAGGTCAGTATTCAGGTTCGTCACGAACTTTTTCTTTAGGTGAAAAGTAATGTGTGCAGTATCTGTAACCTGTCATAAGGTTGATTTCATAAAACTACGCTCTACTGTGCTTAAGACAAGAACACCACAGTGAGACTGTCCAGTGCCACAACGTGTTATAGTTCAAAAAAAGTAACTCAACACTATACTTGGAGAAAAGAATTTATTTACCCACTGTCTCTCACCAAATAGTTCTCATGGATTTAAAGTTTTAGACCAACTGGTAATTAGCCATTTAAAAGAAATATTTGTTTGATTGAATGTATAACTGCATTGGAAAAGAATACCATTTTGAAATTTGGAACAAAAGCAAAGCAGAAAATTGAGAAATCTGTTTATCATATTCTCCTATTAAAGAAAATAGTTTGTTATTGGTACCTGGGAAGTGGCTAAGAATCTTTTAGGGTATGCAGGGAACTGCTCAGTACTTTGAAAACCTTGGGGAATTTTCTGTCATTGGTTTAAAACTGGTCTTACGTTGCTTCAAAATTGGCTATTTTTTTCTTTAACGTGGGCACCATACTTCTTCCTAATATAATTACTTCCTCTCAAAATAATGTAAAACAGGGCTGAGGTAACGTAAGGGGAGTGTCTGTGTCTCCTATTTATGACGCTTTGTACGTGGCAGCACCTTCCGATACGAAGTGAATGTATAAACAGAACAACCCTCAATTGAGTGAGTTATGAACTGGAGTCAAAGGAAACACAACCCTAAGAATCATATCTCTGTGCATATGAGAAATATGATAAAGCGAATAATCCGTCAGAGGAAAAGAAGAAAGGATGGAAATAAGGAACAAAGAAGAAAAGAAAAAAGAAAGAGGCAGAGGGAGGGCATCCCTCTCTCAGGTCCACACTTTCAGCCAACAGCAACCATTAGTCCCAGTTTAGTTTGGCAACTGACAATCCGCCATAAAACTTCCAACACATAAACGTGTATGTGTGAGGTACCTGGATTGGGGTAAATAACCCCATTCTAGTTTCACAGAATGACTCAACTCTTAGTGAATGAAATCTTCAACACAAGTTTATCAGTTTAATATCCACATCTAGAGGTTAGAAGGAGATTTCATTTGCTATTTGACGTTGAAGACTTACCAATATGATCACAGTGACAGCCAAGTGAAGTAGCCTTGCCCAACTTTAAAACATAATAATTTATTTAAAGTAAAATACGAGGATTAGGGTAGATTTTATTTTATTTATTTATATATTTTTGAGACAAAGTCTCAAGCTGTTGCCCTTGGTAGAGTGCTGTAGAGCTGTAGAGTCATAGCTCACAGCAACCTCAAACTCTTGGGCTTAAGAGATTCTCTTGCCTCAGCCTCCCAAGTAGCTGGGACTACAGGTGCCCACCACAATGCCCAGCTATTTTTTTTTTGTGCAGTTGTCATTGTTGTTTTAGCAAGCCCGCGCTGGGTTTGAACCTGCCAGCCTCAGTGTATCTGGCTGGTGCCCTACCCACTGAGTTATAAATGCTGCCAGGATTAGGGTAGATTTTAAAGGGAAAACTTTGCATTTACAAACACTTTTGATAGTATCTCCATTGGAAAATATCCATAACTATTTAAGAATGTTAAATTATGTTAATATTTATGACAAGCCTGTTTGGGGGGTATTAAAATTAAATGGGAAGAAAAATATGGCACAGTCCCTAATTTCACATATAGCCTCTAGGGGAGGTGGGTGAAAAAGTAGAAATGTTAATATGTAAAAAATCGACCAAGAAAGCTATATTATGGAGGACACACGTAACGAAGTTTCTGTAATGGAACACAAATTGGTAAACAGGCTTCTAGTAATGGTTTTGCTTTCCTTCTGCTTCAGGCATTATCCCAATCTCCACCCTTCGGTTTCTTCATGAATTAAAAACAGACGTAACAGGTAAGTGGCCTTGAAAATCCATTGAAAGCCAGAAGACACATGGGAATTTCTAAGTGGGAGAGAAAGAAATATGGCACTGTGTCAGGGAAAGAAGGCTACCCAGCCTTGCCTAAATTGTGTTAGCATAATAAAGAAATGGCTTTTAGTAAGATTATACATTCATTTGTGGTGATTTGAGGAAAATGGGCCCAGACAGAAATGTGGACCGTGTTTTCAGATACCTTCAATTCCCCATCTTTGTGTCTATTCCTGAAGATTAACTGGCGATTGTTTTAAGTAAGAAGAGTTGTCATATGGAATGTTATTTTTACTTGTTTTGTGGAATATGATTGTGTAAATAGAACAATAGGTGAATATCCAGGAAATTTTTTTTTGTCTTTTAAAGGAAGAACTTCAGACATGTTAGTCTAGATTTAGGCAGTTTCTGTCACTGATGCATTCACAGAAGGACTAGAGATATCAGAAAAATTCACAGATAAGTGAAAGATTGACCCAAATGTGAGTCTCTAACAACCGTGAGTTTCTATGAGTGAAGAAGAAAGGGGTTTATTCTCACCATGGAGAGGGTGAATAAGGAGAGGGGAATAGGAGCGGATTCAAGGTGGAGGGGTGCTTGAGAGCAAAAGCACAGAAACTTTTCCTACACAAAGTTGTTGAACATTCACTGTATGCAGACGGATCCATCTAATAAATAGAACTTGGATGTGACAGGTTGACAGTGATGCTTCTGCAGTAACCCGAAAAACTTAATCTGAGCAACTGTTATCACATGTGGACTTGTGGCAATGAGTCTCACCAAGTTAGGAGAGGCCTCAGGAGAACTATGAATAGTAGTAAATGTTTCATCCAAAGACTTGTTTGTATAAGTTTATATTCTGATATTCTTCCTAGAATGGGGATGGTTTCTATTAGAGCTGGCGTGCTGGGAACTGGACGCAAACCATAGATTAATTTGGCAATAGCTCACAGTCGTCTATGGAAAATGACGCCAGTATAGGGATGTTAAATTTCTAATGTTGGTTACCCATTATTTGCACAGTAATATTTCTACAAATTTCACGTATTAGCACATTTGTAGTAGGTAGGAAGAAGGAATATATAAACAATACCTGGGTACTCCAATTCTCGAATGTCAGTAATAATCATACCTAACTAATCATTCACAGGAGACAATGGTAAAATTGAAAACAGGTGATGTTCAAAGATAAATGTAGGACAAAGCTAGCCATATTCAAGTTAAATAGTTACATTTTACACATTTTTAAGAAAAAATGTGCAGTAAGATAACGTTCTGATTACATTTTAATAGTACTCTCCTGCCCAGTGAAAGTTCAGGTGATCTAGAGATACAATCAAAAGTCTTCAAGATTGTGTTATTTTTAAAATAACACAGCATAGAGATCTCAGAATCTGTGATTTGACGGTACATATTCTGGTAAAATCTGGGTAGGCACGTCAGAGCTGTTGCCATACACAGAAAGGTCTTCCTCTGTAACTCCCAATGGATGGAAATGTTGAGGCGCTGAGGCAAGAAGATAAATCCAAAACCTTCCGATTGTCAAAAGATGAAAAAGCTTAAGCAAGAGCAATACCGCTGAATAGAGAGAGAAAGGTGGGAGATATTTGGAAGATAAAAATCGCAAGTTTTGGCCTATTGAAAATGCGGACTACGAAGGACTGGGTGGTGCAGGTTCAAGTAAGAGTAGTAATTATAATGAGGTTTTTCACCTCAGAGTGGTTGAAAGAAGGGTGATGTGTGAAACTCCGAGGAAAACAGAGAGAGGAGCTAAAGCAGCCGTTGGCTTGAGGTGGCTGTGTGGCCCAGTTCACTGACGGGGTTTTAAACTTGGAGCTCCGACGGTCTCAGAGAGAAAGAGAAAGGCTGCTTTGAGGAGTCGTACTTAAACCCATGGAAGAGAACATGAACAGTGTGTTAAGGTTGAGAAAAAGTCTAAAGGAAAAAAAAATTAGTAAAGATATAAATATGAGGAAGAGATGTAGGTTGAATCCACTGCCCAGGGTTTACATCTCACGCCTGGAGCGATTACTAACAGGGTCTCCTTCACTTTCAAAAGTGACCTTACTTACACAATATGGTTTAGATCTCTGCTCAGACAAGCCACTCCGAGAGAAAGAAGTGAAGTTAGAAAGGTCTGATGGGAACCAAGAGAAGTCAAGACCTGAACGATGCTGATGTGAGATCCTTGAAAAAAGCGCGATGGGCTAACAGGGAAAATCCACATCCCAAAAAAGTAAACTTGACCTTTTGGAATTGTGGTTTCTATAGCAACGAAATGTAAGGGATATCTTTAATCAGTGCTTTTCAAACCCAAGTTATTGGAATATTAAAGTTCCGCAGATATATTTTATTAGTAAAAGGGTAATTCAGATTTTGCTTATTAATTATATTTTAGCTCTTTGAAACCCATGCAGTAAAATCCATTCTCGAGGGTGTTAAACGTCACTTTTTCTTAATGTGTTGTTGTGGCCGTGGACATGTTGCCTTCAGCTGCCATGTTAACTGTAATTTACACAAATCTTAGAACACATTTCTCAGTGCACAAATATTTGACATTCTTGGTAAATGAATCCTTGATTCAAATGTCATAGTTCTGTACTAGGCTTTCAAATACCTAAGCTGTGAATCTCCTTCATATAAAATCATGGGGTTATAGTGTCATAAATTATACTTAATTAAATGCAGATGAAGCTCAGGCATATCTGATGAGTGCTGTTCTCTGATAGGTTAGACATATTTCCAATAAAAATGATGATTTGGCACAGTCTATCAGGTCTCACATGGTCCCCCACCTTGGTATACACTGTATCAATCATTCCTTATAACATGACCCAGTTACTATCACATGTATCCATTCAACAGATGAGAAAATTAAGCCTAAGTGTTTCACCAATGTCAGACATAGTAAATGGTGAGTTTTTCCCCCTAAGGAATAATGAAGATGGATTTAATCAGAATAGTGATAGTGGGGAAAAGTATGGAGTAAAGAGTAAACTAATCAAATTAATAAAAGCTAAGAAAAATTATTAGGAGATAATGAGGTATTTTGGTAACTCAGAGCATTTTAGGTGGACCTACAAAAACATTTTTTAATACATTTTTTAAAGTTAAAGTGTTGGGTTTTTTTTTTTTTTTTAAATAGCAACTCAAAGTAAATAAAAGCCATACATCCTTTGGCATCATGGTGTAAAGAATTCTTATGCTAATAGGTTTCACAACAAAAAGTTAAGTGTTTGATACTAATTCATTAGTTCATATGGAACCACAACCAAAATAATTGCTCTTAATTGCTGAAAGCCCTAATCTGTATAGCAGAAGAGTTATAACAGAAAAGAACTAGCTCTGAGTCCTGTCTGCCACTTACTGATGGGGAGACTTTTTCAAGCCAAATGACCTCTCCAACCCTCTGGAACCTCGACTGGAAAATAACCACAATAATAACCTGTGTTAAGCATTTTTATGAGCAATCAACAACATAAGGTTAGGAAATTATTCCGTGAAGAATACACAACCATGTAATTAAAAGGTATTGTTAAGGTGTGTTTATCCCTCTTTTAATTAAGTTGATAGAAATCAGGACTCTGTGAGGATGGGTGGGGAAAAAAAAACACTAAATCAACATTTTAGAGTATTTTACCCAAGTTGGAAAAGTGGTATTTTCCTGTTGCAGAAGACGACATGGCAGACGGGGAGACGAGCGGGGACTGGCTGCCCGTGTCCTGCAGGCCTCCGGTGGAATGAGAACGCAGCCACTCCTTCCCCTCTTCCTGGCTGGCCTGCCGAGACGAGGGGGTGTATCTGCAAAACAGCAGAGCTGAGACACTTGAGCACATCGACAAGGGTAAGGCAACGCCAGGACAAGAAAACAATGGAGAGGAGCTTCTTATTCAGAACGAACAACAATCTCGAACAGACTGACTCTAATTATAATTGCTCAGTTCGTCCAGATGATCTTACACCATCTGTTTGAATCTCAGAGGGGAAAAAAATAATAAAGGAATTTGAGAAGAAAATTATGCTTTTGTGAGATATGAAGTTGAAAATCATAAGCAATGAGCAAACGGCCAAGTTAATAGAGAAGGACTCAAAAGCACAGGGCGTGGAAGGACGAGAGAGTCTAAGAAACAGACCACGGAGGGTGGACAGGGCAGGCCAGAACCACGGGGAGCAGACTGACCACACAGACAGGCGGAGGAATGGGACACAAATCAGTAGCGTATTGTGTTTTTTACGAAAAAACAGTTCTTCGTCTAAATGTGACTTGATACCAATGTCTGAATGAAAAAAAATGAGGGAGTTATATGCTCACTACCTTGGAAAATAAATTTGTCAAATAAAACATTCAAATGGATACTTACTGTTTGTTATTGCTAACAAATTAGAGAGTCAAAGGATAACGGGGAAAGATCTAGTCTGCCCATTACTCCTGTTTCACCAGAGTAAGTAAATTCTTAAGACCACATCCCAGCCAATTTATAATATTCAGTACTGAGCCTCTATTCATAGTCCATTCTATAGCCCTTCCCCAGATAAAAGTGTGCAGTAAAGGATGGCCATAAATTGAATTTTTATTTGTTTATTATGAACTGAATAATTACTTTCAGATTATCAAGTGATATTAGATTAATTCAGATTTAAATTGATCTGACAGATACCAGTACCCCTGGAAATATCGAAATTAAAACTGTTTTGAGTTTTTGATCAAAGGATTCTTTGAAAAATCATTCCTTAATTACAATATTTATTTTATGATGATCAAAGTATGTTTTCTTTGATTCAAATGAGCACATCCTTCAACCTTTCAACATTTACTGGACACATCCGTAGACTTCAAGGGTTCTGAGGTATTGCGAGCATATGCCTCAAAGATGCAAAAGTTAGGAAAGTTAATTTTAATTTGAAATTTTTTCATTCCCCAAAAATTTGGACCCCAAAAAGCAGTGCCTGGGACAAGATTGTTAAGAAGTCTTATTTCTCCAAAATTGTGGTATTCATATTGGAATTTATCCGAGTCACGAATTCAACCTCTGCTAGTATCTCTACCTGAGAGCATCTCACCAACTCTTCAGGCCAGAGGAAACATCAGAATTAAAAGGGATTTGTTTCATCTTGATTTCAGGTACTGTATTGCAAACAAACAAAGAGGAGGCGAGACAGCACACGAAGTTTACAGAACAACAGAAAGAGGAAGCAAATGTGCTGAGAGATATCTACCTTAGTCCCTTTTTGGGTAGTGTATTTCTGTCAAGCTGCATGCTGTTAAAACAAAGAAAACCCCTAAGGACATAATGGAAACAAAACTTCCAAATTACACATCTCACAGAAATGATTCTCTAAACTACTAAAATTAATTTTCTGTAACACATACATAATGTCTAAGTCATTGGAAAAGGCAGTCTTAGCACAAACAGTGACCAGACGTCCACACTGAGTTTCTTCCTAATCTAGCACCACTGAATGATCATTTAGTGATATGGTCATTAGAAAATAGATTAAATCACGTCAGTGTAATTCCCTTCTGCGTTCTATTTACAATGCTATGACAGGCAGTTGTCCTTTCCCTATGCAACGGACCAGACATTTGCTTTGATTTGACCAGCAAGAGAATCATAAAAGTGGCAATGAGACAGATCCACCCTGACAAGTCCCAATGGTCAGAGAAGATGTAAATCACCACTTGATACTTATCTTTTGCCTTGAAATTATTTTTAGTAACAATAAAGGCATAGTTATATCTCCGTTTACATATGAAAAGATAAGACATAATGAGTATTTGCTTAAAACCTCATCTTATTCTTTCAAAAATAAACATTTGTTATTTATGACAATGATGTTTCTAGCATCTTTATTTAAATATATTAATGAAACTAAGCCATACCATCTTTTAGAAATCACAAATCAGGTATGTAAAAGGCCATACACGTTATCACATCTATTTTAAGTACTTCTCAATTGGTAATAAGAAAGGATAAAAAGATGTGTCCACAGAAAATATGAAATGGCCCCTAAAAATAGAGAAAAAGGATGTCAATGACTCAGCTGGACGAGTGTAGGAATTTCTGTGTAGTTCCTGGCATGCAAATAAGCAAAGAGGATCAGTCTTGGAATCTCAAGGTTTTAGCACTCCTCCTTTAGAACCTCAAATGACCAAAATTAAATACACAAGACGCGCATAATGGGGGTGAAATCACATGAATGTGGATACACTGGCTGAAAATTTAATCACTCAAAATCAAAGCTAAAATGTTTTCCTCTATGTATACTCCATGCGATAGAAACATCCAAAGGCTTTCTATGACTTTAACTTTATGGGGACATCCACACAGGACAGCTACTACAATTACAGGGCGGCCAGTTCCAGTATTTACCATGATTTAGAAGGGTTCCCAGTAGTGTGGATAAACAAACAAATCACACTGAACCAACAGGAGAAGCCTCCAAACATGACGTCCACGTGCAGAAGAATTTTACAGTCGTACACTATTTTAAAGAGTATCTCTTTTAAAGAGTAACAAATTCAAGTTTAACATTGCAGAGATAATTAAAAAGAGGCATTCTTTTGTCAGTGTTAGCCAGTTATATAAAAAATCATATATTTATATGAGGCAGAGAAGTTTAATTTAAAAAACTAGAAAAATACATTTAAATTTAGGAATACAATTTAAGGCTTTAAGTAGAAACATGATCGAATCTGGATCTTGACAATTTCACAGTACAGTCACTTTCCACATACAGCCCTGGGCTTGCAGACTCCCATCCACGACTGGCCAGGTAGGTCGTGAAGGTAAGTGCAGCGGGGATTTCAGTCTACAGAAGACAGGCCCCAAATAGCCTGAAGTTACTGAAGCCTGAAGTTATGGGCAAAAGTGTAAGTCACCAGACGTGACATTCAAAGACCAACCAGGAACTTTCAAAAGTGACTACTACTTTAAATCATTTAACAAATTTGGTTCGATCACAAAATACCAAACAAAAAAAAAATGGGGACTAGTTATGGCTGTGGGGTCACCAATGGCCTAGAGCAGCTATCGAGGGAAAACTGTTCAAGAATGCATGTTATTATTTATTTATTATTTGACTATTTCATTCAATTTACCGGAGAGGAATTTAAACACAAATTGAAGTTTTATGAAACATTACCCTTTAAACGTGAATATCAATGACGTATTATAAAGTCACAGACAAAGGGTAAGTCCTAAACATTCTTCCATCTAGAGTACAAAACCCCAGTGAATCTGCTTTAAATATTCACACTGCTACGCACTTTTGGGTTTGGCTCTGTGCTTTCTTAGCATTCCCTACACTCCGCTTAACAAGGAATTATCATTAAGCCAGAATCATTGATGAAATCTAGTTTTTTCTTCAGTAGATCATAAGCTTTCTTAACTAGACATCAAAGGAGTCGAGGAAGCTAATATCTTTAATAGTTTTGTTCTCAAGGAAAGGGACACAATGTCTATATGAAAATTTATTTCAATCCAACAGTCTACTGGAAGGAACTAATTAACATTTACAGTATAGACTAGATGTATGAAATATTGACATTTATTTCTCATAGCTTCAATTCACCAATATACTTTAAGGATCAAAAACACAATATTTTCTGGAATTCAAAATTAGCTTAATTTATTTTGGAAAAGACTGCGTTTGGCCACTTTAACGCTAGAACATTCTGATTGGTAAAAATCCGTCTATTTCAAAGATTAAACAACAATCAAAAAGATCTGCTTAACAATAATAAGTAACTGCAGATCAGCTAGGGTAGTTTTAGAGTGAAAACTGATGCTGACTTCAGCTAAAAATAAAGATCAGAGTAAAATATTAAAACTGCATTTTGACTGCAGCTATAAAGCTCATCACTCTTGCCATCTACTTTTGATTTGAGGATAACTTGGTTACCAGTAGTTACTTCACCGTATTTCTGAATCTTTAATGTTGGAATGCTGAAGAAATAATTTCTGGCTAAATAGTCTACACGTTGTCGTCATCTTCATAATTAGAAAGTAGCCAGTATTTTAGAGGCCGCAGGGGTTAAATGATGACCGTCTTGCAGTATGCTCGGTCTGGTTAACTTGGTATTTGGTTTCTCACATGTAGGATACACAGTGTAGGATTTAGCCATTAAAACTATAGGTGGTTAATATATTTTCAATATGACTTGATTTGTTAGAAGTTTTATAAATGGGTGAATGTCCATTTCAATTGAGGTCGATGAAACTAAATCGAAGATATTGTAGGAAACCTGACTTCTTAGATGGGAAATCAAACACTTACTAAGTTTTATGTATACTGTCTATAACAGCAAAACCAAAAGGAAAATAGATATGCTTTAGTTGCTATCTCCTAGCTATCTTGACACAGTTTTTGTTTATGAGGAAAAATGCGTGTTGTAATTAGCAGTCCACTAAAGCAAGTTTGAAGCAGTAGTATTTTAGTTAGCTGTAAAATTGTTTTTTGTTTTGTTTTGTTTTGAGACAAGAGACTCACTTTGTTACCCTCTGTAGAGTGCTGTGGCATAGCTCACAGCAACCTCAAACTCTTGGGCTCAAGCAATTTTCTAGTCTCAGCCTCCTGAGTGGCTAGGACTACAGGTGCCTGATACAATGTCTGGCTATTTTTTTTTAAGAGACGAGGTCTGACTCTGGCTCACGCTGGTCTCACACCTGTGAGCTCAGGCAATCCACCTGCTTCAGCTTCCTGAGTGTTAGGATTACAGGCGTGAGCCACCATACCTGGCTGTCTGTTGTAAAATTCTTTTATCAGGGCTAAGTCATTATCAAGCCATTTACGAGGCTGCTCTTGTCTCCTTCCTTGTTAGGGAAGTGGGAAGGAAAGTGGCACAGAACAGAAGCAACGTATTGATCTGGGCTTTGACTTTACAAAGGTAAGACAAACAGGGGAGAGTAGGGAACCTTAGATTAAGGGGCAACCCCACACTATAGAAACAGACAGTCCAAAAAATTGGGGTGGGTGTCCAAAAAATAAGGTGATAAGGCGATCCAAAAAATTAGGGTGGGGAGGGTACAGGCATTTCAGTGACCACAGGGCTCTTCTACTTTCATATGTGGCCAAGACAATTTTTGAAAGGTATCTTTGTGCCAAGAAACAAAGCATTATTTTCAGGGAAAAAGTGGCTTAAAGATACTTTCCTGTGTTAAGAGTCAGTATCAATAGACGTGCACATCCTCAGAAGGATATTTTGGGGGAAAGAATCTGGAGTCATTTTGGTTGAAAAATGAGACGCTTTCTATAAGTATATTATATATGAAATGCCTTGTCATGTTCTACACTTTAAGTAAAAGGAAAATCTTATCTGTGTATGCATAACCAATGTAAACTACTTTGTAACAGGATTAATTTTCAAGGAGTCCATTTAAAATAGCACTGGTGTTATAATTTTCTCTAAGAATTCATGGTTGACAATTGATTTTTTTTTCCTCCGGGTCAACTAGGATTCTCCGGGGATCCATTTGCTATTTTTTTTCATAGACGTACAAATGAAACACATTTAAGATACTGTTCTGAGCATAACTGCAGAATTATTTAAATTTGGTTTTTAAAAATGCTTGAATTATCATAAGGCGCTCATGTTGTCCCAGAGCTTAAGCCCAATCATTGAGATGTCTTGAAAGACCTCATTCCATACCTAAATATATTCTTCGAATTTTATTTATATTGCCTACTAAGTATAAACATATACATTCATATTAAAAAACTTAATTATCCAATCACCCTATGCTTAATGGTTTTATTACTTTGCAAATTTGGTAATAAGAGTAAATACAAGGCCCAGTGTCACCAATCTCACATCCCTTTGCACAGTGGCACTCACGCTGAAATCAAGGTAACTTGAGGGGTAGGGGTGAGGCACAGCGTAGGGAGGAGGGGTGGGGACGTCAGCGATGGCTCCAGGAAAGCTCACCTTTCTGAGAGAGTAGATCTCACACTACCCGTTCTCATGAGCAGGCTCTGAACTTCATGAGTGCCTGTGGTCAGTCCCGACAGGGAGCCATGGTGGCTGAGGGGCAGGTCAATGGACTCAGAGCTTGTGTGGAGGCTAGTCATGGACTGGTAGCTCGGAGTGTCCTTGCTGCCTGCAGAGGAACTGCTCAGATTGGCAGCCCACACCAGACCACCTGATGTGAAAGAGTGAACCGACGCTGGGCTGGACGCCAACGAGTGACTTAAGCTTATAACATCTGTAGTTAGGTCTGAGGGCTTATTGAAGAGAGGGCTGCTGCTGCCACTGAGCCCACCAGCGCTGCCCATGCTGCCCGTCCCGGACGACGGTGACTCCAGACTGCCTTGGCGCGCTAATGTGGTACTAGGGCTGGGCATTACTGAGGAGGATTTCACACCCTCAGTATTAGGTGCAGAGGCAGATTTGCCACCTGCCTTGGCACCAAACAACCTAAAAGAAAAACAAATAACAACTTCAGTTGTTCCAAGAAACTAATATCTGCATTTAATATTTAGGGTTACCGTACACAGAACCAAGCGTGCTTTGGCATGCTGAGCTACCAAGCACTTCCCATCTCTCCCTTAATTAGTTTCCTAAGCCTGGACTTCTACATCAAGTGCTGAAAAACTCTCACATCACCACTAGGGGAAGTCAGTACGGGGCAGCTACTGGGGAAAGGGGGGCAGGTGGCAAAACAGACGTTAAGCATGAAAATCTCTGGCTTTTCACAATTTAAGTGATCAGGACCGTCCTTGCTGTTATCTATTTACAGAACCATTATAATGAAACAGCTTCTATGCATTTGATAGACAAGTAAATGGATTGCCCCCCTTTCTTTTCTTTTCTTTTTAAACAGTTTATTTAAAAGGAATGCTTAAGGTGAGGTTTAGGACATTATGTTGAATAGCTGGTGGCCTGAGGAACTGTCCTGAGAAGGTGGTTGGAGACAATATTGGATTTTTGTTGGCAGCAGGTGTGCAAGCCTGTGTTCTACCCAGGAGAGGTCTATATGTCCCATGTCAGCTGCCAGTGCTGTTCAAATACGTTTTTGTAACTGTGGTTTTAAATACAGCTGGTATTGTTAGATTTTGGAGTTTAGTTCAGAAAACATTTTAGTTTTGTAAATGAAGCAGATGATGTAATCAAATTTATGTAAATATGGCATAAAATGATATGAAGTAATGGCAGAATGATTACTAATTAAGTTACAATGAAACCCGTGTTTCCTATTGTGAAATATTTTATGACGAATATGAGCAATTGTTTCATAGGTAATGGGCCACCGGAGGGCACTCTTGGCTTTTATTTACGAAATCTACTCCCTACAAGCCATACTCTTCATTCCAATGAGATTCAACATCTCAGAAAGATCATTCTTCAGAATTAACGTCTCTACTGAGTACTACACTCTCATAGGTTTTTTGAGCAATCACGGTACCTGAGATTGCTTGAATGTCAAAGTTTCAAGATCCTTTTTATTTCCACGATATCAAAGTTCTTGGTTTAGTCAACAGAATAAAAACAAGGATTAAAAATATTACCCTGTGATGAACCACAAACCCTACCCTACCACTTTACAGATGAGCAAACAGACCAAGACAGGGTTAGCTGTTTGTCCCAAAGTCTTATCTATTATTTTCTACCGCTTAAAAACACATTAGCATTTAAAAACAGTGTTATCTAATAGTAAAACTTCACATGTTTAATACCCAAAACAATCCTAGAGCAGAAATCAGTCATGCTGCTTACCAGAGTCGCAGCAAACAAAACTGAGGAGGAATTAGAAAACCCAGCCCACGGTTTTGTCGCTAAACTGTACAAAACATCCGAATGTTTTCGAACTCCGTCGATTATTCTACACCTTGATTTTCTTTAATATGTCAAGATATGGTATTATATAAATCTGTGCAATGTTCCTGCACAGTTGTTTACAAGGAACACAACTTCATTGAGTTTCATGACCATCACATCAACTCACTAAGAGTCTGCGAGATGAAACCGGAGATGACGCCTACAGCCCTGATGACACATTGTGTTTCGTGATTGTAGAAAGCAGGAATGAAAGTTAAAGGCTATATCTCGCTTTACCACTAAAGTTAAAAGCTATTATCTGGCTTCATCACTATAACTAGGTATCGCCAATGCTCCTGGTGTTTGCAGGTGTATACATACACACCTACACCCAATGAGAGTGCAACCAGGAGAGCTGACCACTTCTTAAAACAAGCACCATTTTCTTGACTAGCTCTTTAGGGGCTGAGCTTCTTAGAATTCACTGCAGTTTACAAGAGTCTATTATACATGCATTTTAGAATATATATAAGATGTATAAGTATATACGCGTCTCTATAACGCGTATGTAACAGACATCCTTTCACGTTTTCCAGCATCCTGCTACAGGACCTTACCTTCGGAATGTAGGTGAGGCAATGTCTGGATACTTGGATCCTGGCTGTCTGAGCCCTTGTGCCCCACAGGCGCTGGCAGAGGTGGGGCTGGATTTGGGGGAACCTGACAAAGAAACGCTCTCTGAATCTGACACCGCTACCTTCTCCTTCTCCTTGTCTGTCTGGTTCACGGTGACAGGACTTGAGCGCCCTGACCCAATCTTGGTGGGTTCTCTCAGTTTCGAGGTGGTGGCACCAGCCGACTTGCTGCTGACATTGGAATCAATACTGCTGGTGCTGGACCTGTGGCCCCCTCGGCCGGGAATGCCACTGGCACTGGACTTTGAAGGGCGGGGCAGGCTGCGGTACTGTAGGGTGGTCTTGGAGCTAACATGCAGCACCACGTCATCCTGATTCTGGGAACCGTCCAAACTGGTTTTTCTCCCTGCGTTTGACTTCCCGCCAATGGCAGCAGATTTGGGGATTTTGCCCAGCGTGGCTGAGCCACTGGTGATGGTGGCCCCGCTGCTGGTGATCATAGAGGATGACCCTACTCCACTCGGCTTCTTGAATCCAAAAGAGCTGGTGGCGGGTGATCGCCCAATGCCAGAGGGCGGCTTTTTCCCTTCATCTCCACTGCTTTTTCCTGCGTCTGAAGGAGACCTCTGCAGAGAGGATCCTTTCAGGGGAGTTTTCCCTTTCTCAGAGGCTTTGGCATCATCAGTTTTCCCTAATTAATGAGAGATACAGAAATATAAGTGCCTGTAGATGCTGACATCGTAAAACTTCTCAAGAAAATGTGTACAACGTAAATAGTTCTTTATAGTCATATTACTTTAGTTCCTCCATGTTTAATCTTTTAGATCTAAACTGTCATATATTGAGAGGATTGACTCCCTAGCAACCCAAATTTAGCTGTCAGCACGAATGTGATGAGAGATAAAATGAAAACACACATTTTACTATTTGTTAAAGTCTTAAATCTTGCTACTCTTTTCCTTTATAAGGATACGATTTAGTCCTATTGGGCTAAATACTAGAAATTTAATGCATTTGATTGTCTTTGGGTTAATGATATTTAGAATATACTGTTACACCAGTGCTTCACCTGCCACTATTTATAATTCGCCATTATTTTAAAAATAAGGGAAGAGTCTGCAACATGAGAGGGTACAATTTGGCAGAATTCTTTCACTCTCTTCTTCCACAAAGTCTAATTCACAAGATTTCAAAACTCTAGCAATCAATTAATTAGCATGACCACTTTTGTCACCCAGAGTTCACAAAGTCAGCGGCATTCTCAGCATAGAGATTCCAAACTTTCATTCAAAAAGTCATAAGAAAAGAAATCCCAGGTTTTAATTAACAGCCTCATTTTATTTCCATGTGACCAGAAATGACCAGCAAAGTAAGGTACCTAGTCGTCCCAAGCATGAGGCCATTAGAGAATGCATAGATTATTGAATTTATCTGACTTGTGTGATAAAGTATGTGAAACTTACATAGAAAAATGATTTAACTATATAAAAAAAATCTTATTTTTTATAAAAAGTTACTACTAATGAAATGAAAAATTAAAGGGAAAAAATTATCCAATGCAATTAATAACAGCTGCCAAACACCAACCCTACCGGGAGTCTTGAGTGCACTTGCTCCAGCTTTCTGCCTGGACGCTGCTGCTCCCTGGGCAGACATGCCTCTCCTCCAGGAACCCGTCTGGGAAACAGACAGGGACGCTTTCTGCCCCGCCTTCTCGGGGTCTTCAGGAAGCCCCGAGGGGACGTTCTTCCACTTGCCACCTGCATCCCCATGGCTGTCAATGTCCTCTTCTGTTTTCTTTACCTCCTCACTGTTGTCCCAGGTCTCGTCTGCCGTGGAGCGTTTCTCTGAATCTGTCTTCAGCTACAAAGAAAAATAATATGAAAAAAACACGATGTATAAAAATTAATAAAATATGAATTAAGATGGGGAAGTATACTTTCAGATAACTGGTTAAAATGCAGCACTAATTTATATTTCAAAAGAATCCCAAAATTTCTTCTATTTTTATCCATCTCCACTCAAGTTTTATTAATTTTAGCCACATAATTCTCACTTGCACAAACTAGAAAGCGTCAGAATAAACATGCTCAGAAAAATCTCAATTAAATACCCGAGAAATGAAGACAATTTCTATGTCAAGTGTAGCTAGGGAAAGGAAGACATTATAAGAGCTGCTTATGTGATGTCTACTCTTTGTTGTTATTGTTGTTGTTGTTGTTGTTGTTGTTGTGGTTTGGCCGGGGCTGGGTTTGAACCTGTCACCCTCAGGGGTCAGCGCCCTACTCACTGAGCCACAGGCACCACCTGTGATGTCTATTCTTGATTTGCCATGTGCACAAGATCCAGTAATTTATTTCAGAGATCAATATAAAATTAAGAACTATCCAAAATTACACTTTTAAAATAACTGTACTATTTATAAACAAATATGCAAGTTAACAGAGATAAGGCAATGTTTCAGACCATTCCGGTTTAGAGTATAATCAATAGAAAAAATATATATGTAAACTGTTTTTGATTATTCTAAGGAGGCTGAGCTGTCGACTGTTGCACCTCCTGAGGTTGTAGTTTTAGGAAAGACTAAAGATACTCTGGGGTCTTTAATGGGCAGAGGGAGTGCCCATTAGCTCTGCCTTATTCATTTTATGCAATTATTGTGGATTTAGGGTTTGTGCTATACCTCAATCTAACATAAAATAATTTGGGGCAGAAAACTGGCAAAAACACTGGAAAAACAAGGAAGGTGGTTCTCACCTGAGTGCTCTTTCTGGAAGGGACAGTGATGTTGGAGTAAGAGCTGACCGAGGATGTGGTTTGCAGGTCATCAGTGCTGATGTTGTCCAGGGTGTCACTGAGGCCACTGCTCACGGAACTGCTGTCATCCCAGCTAAAAGCAAGACACGCATCAGTCAGGAAGCAAACAGGACGCACATCATGAGTCACTGACATTCTCATATATTAGGAATACAGTTATTTAAAAAAAAATCTGGGGATGAAAAGTATTTACTTTCCATTTTGAGAAAATCATATTTATAAGAACCAAGTGTCTACCTGGGAATAACCTTATCTGATAGATGGGGAATAAATCATTGCCTACAGCAGATCCAGGTTCCAGGGGCACATTGGTGGAATGAATGAAAATGTTGATGTAAGTATTGCATGATATCAGGAAAGGATAACATGAGAGCTGACTTTTACTTTTTCTGAAAAGGTAACCAGGAATCATAAAGCATGTAGGAACTCATCCTTTGTTCATCAAAAGCCGGTGCTTTAATTGTGAGCCAGAAAGTCATTCTTCACTCTCTCTCCTTGGTAACCACTTCCAATCATTCACCAAGTATTGAGTATTGAGATCCGTTCAATCACAGGGTCCCTGCTGCCTTCCTGCCATCCACTTCTTCTTCTTTTTTTTTTATAGACAGAGTCTCACTGTGCCACAGCTCACAGCAACCTCCACTCCTGGGCTTAGGCAATTCTCTTGCCTCAGCCTCCCGAGTAGCTGGAACTACAGGCACCCACCACAGTGCCCAGCTATTTTTTGTTGCAGTTTGGCCAGGGCTGGGTTTGAACCTGCCACCCTGGATATATGGGGCCGGCGCCCTACCCACTGAGCCACAGGCGCTACCCCTGCCATCCACTTCTGTCTTATACAATATAAAACATCCTCCTAGCTGGCCTTCTTGTTTTTGATTTCTCACAAAACATCTGCTGAACCCAGGTCAGTGGTCAGATATTTATATATGTTGTCCCTTCTCAAGACCCTCAGACTCCCCCTATCCAAAGCAGATTTTAAAATGAAATGCACTTGAGCCATGGGGTACACAAAGAAATCCATTTGGGATATAAGAGAAATATCTGAAATTATAATACAATCATGTATCATTTAATACTGGGGATATGGTTCGAGAGATGCATTGTCTAGGGATTTTTTTTGTTACGCATATATCATAAATGTTACTTACATAAACCTAGAGGGTATAGCCAACTATACACCTAGGCTATATAGTACAGGCTATTGCTCCTAGGCTACAAACCTGTACAGCACGTTAGCATACCAAAAATACAGTAGATAACTCTAACACAATGGTAAGTATTTGTTAGAACCCAGAAAAGGTACAGTGAAAATATGGTATTTTGACCATGTGAGACCACAGTCACATAGGTAGTTTCATTATTGACCAAAATGTCATATGTAGTACATGACAGTATAATTTAGTCTATAAGATAAAGAAGAATAAATAAAATAAGTTACGTCAATATTCATGCACAAGTTAACACGGGCATTTTCGTTTAGTCATTGTGTTAGACGATGCAGCAATAACATAAAATAAACAGGGTAACCTGAAGGAGAACAAGAACTCCACAATGAGAAGAGGAGGATGACGGTTCTTTCGTTTACTGGAGGATTCTGCGTCTAGTGTGATGTACTCTGCTTACCTGTGCTCTGTTAAATGTACGTGTGCACTCCAGATAAAGATATTACAAAGAGACAAAATATGCCTCATAAAGTGGACGTGCAGTTTAGAAATTCTCCTGTGAATAATCTTCTCAGGGAAGAGAAGATTCCTAATGCCAGTAACACAAGCCAAGGTGTGGAATGGTGAACGGTACCTTTCCTACTTGGTACATGAACTTAATGAGTTGCATTGTAAGTTCAAAATAATGATGTTGTATTAAGATCATATATTAAACCAGCTAAAAAAGACAGACAGACATTGAAAATTGAATGTAGAGCAATAACATTCAGGAGGATCTTCCCTCCCTAGGTAGGTGTGGATTCTCTTTGAGATTTTAGCTACTGAGAATGAATACATCATGATTGTTATCAATAGTAATTGTACAATTAATAATAGAAAAAGAGGTGTATTTCATACCACTACATAAAATAAGTGTCATTGTGTTTACTTAAGTCTTTGGAATGATTTTTCACACCATAAACCTTTTCATCCCAAAAGAGGACATAAAACCCTCACAGTCCCAGACTCTCATTACAGACAGCTATAGCATGCAACCCCAGGCCGACCTATCATTTATACACGTGGAGTCAAAAAAGAGAAAAACAATCTTGCAAGCAATATAGAAGGGTCATTTGATTTTTCTCCATCAACTTACAGTCATTAAATTTTTCTCTATCAAAACTGGCAAATATCTATTCTCCAGTTCCATGTAATAGAGGTGTCCAGTATGGATAGTAGTGATACCCTGGGACTATGGTTGGCTAAAAGCCTGCAAAGAGCCTGGTTCACTAATTATACCAATAATTCAGAGATCCTTTTAATATTCCATAATTCCTTAATTTAGCCAAAATCTATAGATTTGCAGGGATAAGAAAGTTCATAGCTTTTTCCCTTTGCATACATCAAAAAGACAGAAAGATCACAAATTATCAACTTAATGTCACGCTTCAAGGAACTATAAAAGAAGAACAAACCAAACCCAAAGTTAGAAAAAGGAAGGAAATAACAAAACTCAGAGCAGAATGAACAAAATGGGAAGCAGAGAAATTATACAAAGAATTAGTGAAACAGAGAGTTGGTTCTTTGAAAAGATCAATAATATTGATAGCCCACTACCAAGATTAATCAGAAATATAAGAGAAAGGACTCAAATAAGCTCATTTAGAAATAAAAAAAGATTTATTACAACTGATAGCACACACATAAAATATCATCTGTGACCACTGTGAAAATGTGTATGCACACAAACTAGGAAAACTACAGTAAATGATAAATTTGGGGTACACACAGTCTTTCACCTGAATCAGGAAGAAATGGGAACCCTAACTAGACCAATAATGAGTAGCAAGTTTACAACAGTAACAATAAAACTCTAAAAAGAAAAGCTCCAGTCCACATGGATTCACAGTGGAATTCTACCAGACCCACAAATAAGAAAATGTTTCATAATACTCAGGAGAGAACCCCTCCTGGCTCATTCTACAAAGACAGTATCAGCTTGATACTAAACCCAGGAGGGACCCAATGAAAAAGGAAAACTACAGACCAATCTCCCTTAAAGGCATGAATGCAAAAGTCTGCAACAAAATACTACCAAACGGAATTCAACAGCACAGCAGAAAGATAATCTGCTACAATTAAGTGGGTTTCATCCCAGGGAAGCAAGGATGGTTCAATAGATGCAAATCAATAAACACAATTCACCAAATAAGCAGAAGTGAAAACAAAAACTGTATGATATCACAATAGATGAAGAAAAAGCATTTGATAATTTCCTACAAGTGTGAACTGTGCTATGATAGAAATTTGGATACAGGCATCTTTTTGATATGATGATTTATTTTTCTTTAAGTAGATACCCAGTAGTGGGATTGTTGGATAAAATAGTAGGTCTGCTTTTAGAATCCATGAGAGTTTGATATATTTTATTCACTGTTCTATTTCCAGCTTAAAGAATGGAAAGCATGTTAAGCATGTAATAGGCACTCAATCAACACTAAATAAATCAATGAATAACAATCATCTACACACCCAATTCTCTTTTTTAAATTTCAAACTGTTATGGAGGTACAAATGTTTTAGGTGACATGTGTCAATTTTTTCATGCCTAAATCAGGGCTGTGAGCTGCACCACCAAGATTCTGTTCATTATACCCATTCGGTAGATTTTCATCTATTCCTCCCTTGCTTAATTTCCAATGAGTTTTACTTCTCTGTGTACATGTGTGTGCATTGTCAGTTCCAATTTAAAGCAAAAATGTGTGGTATTTGTCTTTTCATTCTTTAGAAACCTCACATAGGATACTGGTTTCCATCTGAACTGTTACAAAAGGCCTTTTGTTATCCTTCTTCCAGGCAGAGTATTATTCCATAGTATACATAGGCCACACTTCGTTAATCTGCTCATGAATTGATGGTGACATGAGTTGGCTCCACATCTTCGTCAATGTGAATTGTTCAGAAAGAAAGTAATGTTTATACACCGTAGGTAGTATAGAAAACTAGTAAAATCTCTGTGGAAAACAATATAAAGATTCTTGAAAGAACTAAAAGAAGACCTATTGTTTGATCCAATTGTCACTGCTGAGAGTGATGACCAAATTGTACTCTTCCTCACTAACCATGAATGGGTTCTTATACCCTACCTTAGATTACTGGGTGCAACCCCACTTCTGTCAGTCTTCTATCCATGGCTCTGATTTTTTGACCAGGTCTTTAACCAGGTTCAATATCCCTTCCTCATTCCACTCTCATTCTAAATTTTAAATTAAAGCTCACATATCCTTGATTCCGTTTTATAACCCCTTTAAAAAATCAAAAAAGACAACTTCTGGAGTGAAGTCTGCCATTGACAGATAAATCCATGAAATAATGTAATTAAAATGTCCATTTCAGCACTGGAGATCTATGGGGGTTTACCAGACCTACAGGATGATACACTAGACATATTTAGTTTAGACACAGTTACTTAGATGAGGAATTTGCATTTATTCCAGGAGTGCCTGTTATAGAACTTGTGTCTTTCAGATATTCTGGAAATAGAAGAAGCAAAAAAAAACATCTAAAGAGTGGAAGGAAAGGGGGCATGAGGTCCTAAAACTTCATTGGTATGTCAGTGGTCCATTATCATAATATTTATGAGATACACGTACCAAAAAAAAAGTTATCTTCCAACCTAAGAGTTGGCCAACAGTCTAATAATATACCAAAGTAAAAGTTTTGAGGATTTAACTAACAATTTAAGACTAAAAATAATTTCTTCATGAAGACAAAAATGAAGAACATTTAACTATCCACAAGAACATTGTAACATCTCTTGGGTAAGCTCCTTGTTTCCAAGGGAACAGCAGATAACATTTATATAACAAAATGAAGGCAGCACTTAAAAAAATTCCATCATGTCCCAGGATAGCTTTTTAATCAATTGTTA